GGGAAACGCTAAAATACTATGAACCAAAGGTAGGAAAAATGGACAGCAGGTAAACTTACACTTTAAAACAAGTCCTATTCTCGATTCGATAGCAGCTGAGGTGGTAAAACTATTTATCTAAAGTACTTCAGTCATATACATGACATATTCTTAAGGACTCAATATAATATTTCACCATAAGTAACCAAAATTGTCCATCTACTTGTTGAATATGCCCGGCAGCATCGTTGATCCATTACAAACAGATACAGAATCCCGTGAGGCTAAATCTCCTACTATATGATCCACAGCCATGTGAACCTTTTCGAGAGGACCAACGAAGACTTAACTAAAGTTTTCAAATTATTTCATACAAAATTTATGTTTAGAAAATCGATTAACATATCCTTATCAGTGAGACCGATAAGAACCACTGTTCCATCAATCTGAAGAAGATTGAAAGAGAAATCAGGGTGTTTATAACCGCTACTTTGTTGTACTCTTCACACTGAATCGTAGATCAAATATTACTATTCTCAAGGTCACCCGTCGGGCATTTGTTTCTTCCCAAAATGGTGACTTGATTCCACTCTTTAGATGGTTGATATAGTAGTTTCATTCTGAGTGATTGTAGAATATCCCATGGTCCTCATGCTATGGATCGACTTGTTCGCAAAATTAATAGTAGCCCCAAGTCTAAACGGAAAACACTCGTCCAAACCGAAGACAATTTTGGTGTTCCATTAAAAGTTCTGCTTGATCGAGATTCTACAAAACCGGTCCCTCGAATTGTTAAAAATATTTGTGACTATTTGCTTCATTATGGTCTCAATTCACAAGGAATTTTTCGCATCAACGGGAGTGCCAAACTAATCGACGGATTCAAAACAACCTTTCAGATTTCGGCTGCCGACGATTTATGCACTTTAGAAAATGTCGACATATATGCTCTTGCTGGTGTTTTAAAGTTATTTCTTCGTGAACTTCCTGATGGACTGGTTCCGGAAAAACTTGGGCTTAAGTGCATAAAGGTGACACAGTTGGTTTAACATATCTCATATCCTCAGTATTTTCGATTTGAATCATAATCTCATGGCTTTTTTATGTCACTCACTACATTTATTATCAAAAATTTCGCCTTAATGTCATATGTATTATCTTGTCATATAATTTTCGAAACCTGTTATGAGGTCTCGTAACTTGATTCACTTTCAGGCCTGTGGGAACTCTAAACCTTTCAGCTCAAATATCTGTCAAATTTTTTGGTCTATGGCTATGCTTTTTAATTGCTCAGAAATAGAGTTATCTGCCGACTCACTGTTATGTATGCGATTTAAAGTCTTATATACACTTTAGATAGCATAGAATAAAACATTCAATTTGTTTTAAAATTGATCATATCAGCTATGAAATATTTGAGCATATATTACTTTCGTTCAACGAATTAGAGATAAGTAACCTGATAGGAGACAAATTTTCATGATTTTGAGCAAGTTTATTGTCTAAAAGCTTCAGTTTGGAGAGGATAGGAGCCTCGGTAGCCTGTGTTGGTCGTCGCAATCTTGCTCTCTTGGTTGAAATGAACCAAAGGAAACCTGACTACAGTATTTAAATTACTTCATGACAAATCTATATTTTACATATCTCCATTTTTCTTGCCTTTCAAAACTGTATTTGGGAGGAAACTGATAAGTCTAACAAGTCCAGAACAAATCACACGTCAGCTTGGTATCGATTTCCCTATCAATATGATTTTTGTCATCAAAATCAATATTATCTGAAACTATTTAAAAATTATGTATATTCAGACTTCGTCTCTAACTAGTTGTCAAAAAGACGGAGATTATTAAGGGAATATCACGTTTTCGCTGAAATCTCTGCAGCTCTAAACCATTGTGACAAAATAGCTTATCTGTTGCACTACCTCTAGTTCACTACTAGGTGATGATTTGTTCAAGACTGACTCCGTTATAGTAAGTGAGATTGTCTTAGGTCGAGCTTACTCCTTGTCACATCGATTCCTCTCATATTTCCAGACGGTAGACCAATAATGCGCAATAATTTTAATTTCCGGTTCCAGACATTTTTACTTCCAAACCCTTAAGTGTTGGAAAATTTGGTTTACTTTATTTGAAACAAAAAATATTCCTAATTATCCCTTGTACTCGTAGAAACTGCTATAGCTAATGTGCATATTTTCACTGTAAACATCTATATATTTGTTCGCTTCCAATAAACCGCTCGTTACTGACTACTTTATATCAGGTTATTGACTGTCTAGCTTGTAAAACATCGAACGAATCAATTATCTTTGTCAAGAATTTCGAAATACTGTTTGAATAGTTTCAAATTATTCAGATAAATGAATCACAGATATTTTTCGGTACTGGGTTAATGTGGATATTGGCTAAACCAGTGAGTAGCAGAAACGGGATGTCGATTAGTTCATACATTGTTCTAGTCAGATCTTACTCAATCAAGTACGTAGCCTTGGGACTCTATCTACTTTATTTTTCATAAGTCTAACCTCACTATAATCATGAGATGACAAGCGGTCAGAAGCACTGTTATCAATCATTAGGAACTTGATAACACCTAAAGGTCGGGTTCAATTCGAACTATATATACTTGATAACTTGCAACATCTTTGATATCGAGAGAGCGAATGTCTACCTTTGATGGGTGGGTTGATACCTTAAACCACTTTCATGTATAAAATATTGCCTATCAAAAAAATCTGATGATGGGATTCTTAAGAGTTTTATTAATTTCTACCGACGTGACACATCCTGATTGCTCTGATTCCGAAGGTTTTAAAGTGTTCATTGCAAAAACCTGCCTTTATTACATTGCTTATATATAATTAGGCCCTCACAATTCAGGTTCATGAACATTTCATATATTTTTATTTCGGAAATCTCGAGCTTTGTTTTGTAATTTTTGTGGCTTGAGAATTCATCAATTAGCTACACATATCTCCGAACCCTAATCTTCTCCATTCCTGCTAATACTATCGCTACCACCATTGGATTTGAACTGACGGTTGCATCTCTGTGCTAATGCAGTATGGCAACCTGCGTACGTACGAAGTTCTGCGTTGTGTCTGTCTCTGTCTTTCTATTAGCTACACACAAAAAGTGTTTTAGAATTCCCTTAGTTAATTTTCATCTAGGTACAGCAGGAACGATAGGCTTAAATCATAGGATTGACACCAAGATTTAATAGAATGAATTATGTAATTATAACGATCGTGTTTTTGATACCATATTGACAAAAAGCAAAATTATCTCCAAGCAGCTAATTCAATTGTAAATTCTAAATAAAATCCTACTAAATTCCAGAAAATAACTCACTAATTTCTTCATTTGTTTATTATTAAATTTTCCCATTTTTAGATTGCAAAAGAATATTCAAATGATTTAAATGTATACATACTTAAACTGCAAACTGTATTATTTACACTGGTACATGAAAACTATGAGCTCTTAAAATATTTGTGTAAGTTTTTGAACAAGATCGCGGAAAATGAACCCGTCAATAAAATGTCACACAATAGTTTAGGAATTATATTTGGTCCCTGTGTATTTCGTTGCAGTTTAGATTTGCAGGCAAGTTTTCATTCTAGATAAAACTTTGATTATCATGTATAGAAATATGGCATATCTTATGATATTAATATATATATATATATATATATATATATATATATATATTACATGGTCCTGAATGAACATAACATAGCTTTCTGTGTATGATAATGATATTCTTTTACGCCGTAGATTTACTTGCATAACTAAACCAGAGTGTAGTTGCATAATGAATATTAGTTGAATTTAACAAAAATTATCGAGCAAACAATCGAGGAAGGAAGATTCACATAAATAATGTATTGGATCATTCAGCTTTTGACACAAAACAAGCTGTGAATGCGATAGTTACCTGTTCTTATTTAATGTGACTACAACACATGATCCGATTATCTTAATTGATCCATTTTTGCAGTCTCACAGAGTGAATTATTACTAGTAATTAAATAACCCCATTTGATTAGTTGTAGTTCTTAAATCGTTTTTGTCGAGTCGGTTGACAGCTAAAACAACTAAAAGAACATACTGGATAACCGTTACGTCATTCAAAAATGGCTGCCGTTCCAAAGAAATATATTTTCAAAATCTCTGTGGTGATTTCTAATCGTCCAACTATACAAGAAACATTTATATATGTTGTAGGATTCGATATCTGACGTAAGCTGGGACTTACATCTTTCGAGATATCTGATTAATTTTACAGATAAATGCGTCTCTGAGATGAATCATTGTACTCACTCTCCGTAAACTGTATCATATTTTTGATATATCAACTTGTCAGTGGATTCGATTCACGAGACTCTTATGCTGTTCCTAACTGTGGCCCACTTATACTTTTTAGGGCTCACATAATCTTATTTTCAGTTACAAAACACCTGATACTGTTGAGCGTAAAGAGACAAGCGGCAGAAAATAAAAGGACAATACTATGAAGAAACAAAAGAGTTAAGTTATAGAGAAAAACAGTTCAAGTAATATCAGAATCAACATAAACTTCGTTCAGTCTAAAAAAGATGTATCAGACTACTATAACAAGATTAATACTGGTTACTATTCTGTTATATCTTCGATAATATTTGAACCCACTGAGTTTAATGACTTTCAGCACTCCATATGTTTCAATAACCTCAAGTTTATCAAGCAGTTTCAGCTACATTTACGTATGAAATAAAACACTACAATCATTCGGAGTTAGTTAAACATTATCTGGAAATTTACCATTTATTGATCTGGGGAAAGTTCCATATTTCTTAAAATAAAAGCCCTTAGTTAAGACTATATTAATCACCATCATAATTTTAAATTTAAATCAGCAATTAGTCTTAGTTATTTATAAATTGAATGTAGTAATCAATTACTCTGTTGGATCTATCATACCTTAGAACCCTTGATGTCCACCTACTTTGATCTTCATTCACAAGTATTATTTTCTTGAATATATTTGTAAGTTGACTTAATAATGAAATGATAACAATGAATCAGTCATTCCTGTAATAACCTAATTTATAACCTATTATTGTACATTTTGGGTACATAATTAATCTTTTAAATTTCATATATATTAATTGGTAAATTTTATGTAAATATTATTTTTGTAAACTATTGTTTTCGATTGGATTTAAAGGTTTTGAAGAACCAAGGTTTAACGAATTACGTAATGACTTCACTCATCCAATACCATGATGCTATATTTGTTCATCATCCTAAAACGGACTTTTTCGTATTAGACCATTTGTTTAAATTACCGGAACTTGTCTCTAACTCTGCTATACCGAACCTTGAAGATCGAGTTCAGTCATCGAGTGACATATCAACGAGCTCCAATCACAATAATAGTCCAGAACTTATCAGTTGCCTACAGGGAAACAAATTTTCACATGTTGTGGAAGCTCTACCTTTGAGTCTTGAAAACTCAAATAAGCCTGGACCCGATAATCAACTATGGATGTCTTCTTCTTCTAGTGAACCGAAAATCCCCCGAACAAGCCCCTGTCATAATACACCAGATTCAGTATGTGATGTTACAGTTGGCAGCAATCTCTCTAATGTTAGCTCTCCGTTTCAAGACTTTGTGTCATCTAGCCAAAACAAAGAATGTCTTGTTTGTCCATCAACCTCATCCACACCTAGCCCAATCGCTTTCGAAGTTTCAAGTACTCCAACATTTGTGAGCCGGAACAATTCGTTTTCATTTAATGAAGAGAATACTGAAGAGTCTCCAGAGTCAAGTGAACAAGTGCTTTGCACAAAGTAAGCCGCTAGTAATTAAAATGTTGTCCTTGATTTTTTGACATTTTCGTAACATTGTTTGGTTTACTAGGAGTTCAGTAATTTTCTACTTATGTGTTTTGTAATCACAACATTCATTAATCCTTATGGTTCTCATATTTTTACTTAGAACATCGGAACAACTTGCATTAGATATTACAAGTATCATTTCGTCCATGGCTACATCCCGTTCTCTAGAGACAATGTGCTTCGAAATACAGCCTGATGATTACTTCAATAATTCTACCCAGATGTCAAGTTGTAGTGAGAAGCCTAATCAAGAAAACTCAAGAGAAAAGTTACGTACTTCTGGTGTGCTATCAAGGTCATTAAACAAAGTTTCAAAAGGTGGTAGTTTGTTCAATAAAGTGGTTCACTTTACCCACGTCACTGACAATCCGAATAAAATAAACAGAACTTTCAGCCATCGCAAACGTAAAGGCAAAAAATCAAGTGTTGATCCAATAAGTACTTGGAATTCCATGCCTTCTGTGCAAAATGAAACGATTAAAACTTCACCTACATTAATGGATTCTTGTGTGCCAGTTTACGGTGAAGGTCTTTGTAGTCAGTCTGCACAACCTGGAAATATTATATCAGATACTTTGGAATACAACGGGTACCGGTTTCCGAATGCTGACAATACTTGCCGATTTGTAAGCTTGCAAAAGGATGACTTCAATGCAGAAAATGTACAAAATACACCTAATTCACCGCATACATCTACCTCCATACCAGTCAGCGAAAATCATTTGTACATGGAAATACCGGCTGCTAACAATGAGTTTACCAATTTAGTCGCTAATAATCAACCATCTCCAGTTATAGAGAATATTTTGACTGAAGCGGTAAACCAGTGTTCCGACAATCCTGTTTTTTCCTTCTCTGTGAAGCAGGTTAGTTCATTAATGTTTATATGCTTAAATTTACATCAGCCACCCTACATATATGAAAACACTGTTTAGTATCTGATACGTAACTTTCAATCTAACGAGAAAAATATTTGTCGGAATTCATATTTTAGTTTGGTTCGTCATGGTTCATCTGCAACATACTGTTTCCTCCACATTATTTAAGTCAGCGATTTTTATGGGTTTACCGAAGAAGTAATTTTAAATTATTATTTCATGGGTTATGACTGAACATTTATGATGAAGATGAGTTAATACATTTGGTACTTTATACTCCGCTTTGAATCTAAATGGAATTTTATCTTACCTTTGGTAAACCTGAAAGAAAATATCAGGCTTTCGTCTTTGTTTGCTTGTAGATTAGCGCTGAGATCTAAATCACATATTAACGATTAATTTTTATCAAGTATCACACTTAGTGTTTGTTTTTACTAACTAACTAATGGCCGTATAAAATATTACATATACTCACATTTTTGTTCAAGTTTTCCTTTCTCACCAGTTTTAAATCTGATATTCTTATTATGCACTTCTATGTACTTTGCGTTGGTTCAAGTATATTATCCAACGTGATCAGTTGTTAATATATAGTAAAGCGTTCATGCTTGTGCAACGGTAGTGCGCTCAATTCATGAGCTTCCCATTTTGATAAATCGCTGTAGAAATATTCCCATCAGGACATTTCACTCATTGTTTTTTTTTGTGTAGTTGCTATACATCTCCTTATTTTTCAGAATCTAATGATACATATGTTGCATTGTTATTTAGATAAGAAACAAGAAGTCAATTTTATCAGTATATCATCCTGTTCTTGTTTTCTTCAATGTTCCTCCTAGAATTCAGATTCTTGCATCCATTCTAGTAGCTTTCCTCATTCAATAACTGAAATAAATTCTTCAGCTTCTGTAAAAAGAAATTCAGTCTCATGTTTTGTTAGACCAATATTAACTATATTGTGTTAATCAGAAATGCCACTTTGTGTATCTGATAATTTTGATCCTAACCTAAATCATGTAAACGATTCTAGTGCTAAAATCAACAATAAGCAAAATAAATCCGAAGAGTTTACAATTCTTCACTCTGATACTGCGCATCAATTAAGGAGATGCCATCAAAATGAACCAACTAGTCCGATAACATCCAGTTATATCATTTTAACTAATCAGAGAACAAATTTAAATCCTATTAGTGCAGTAACCGATAAACCAATTCATTCCTTTATTCATGAACCCAGAGATCGTGGCTCATGCTCTCCTAATTTGTTATCGCATTCTTTGAACTCAAACAATAAACACTTAAATAAATTTTCTCTGAACTCCAGAAAGCTTTCTATAAGCTCTGTAATATTATTTTAGTAACTTAAGAAGACAAAAGTTGTAAATTTTCACAGTTAAACTCACGAACTAATCTTAGCTAGGCCACCACTAAAAGCGCAAAGTACTGGGCACCCGTTTCGTCCAAGTATGGAACTCGTCCGTAGTATAAGTCCATGTCTTCGTGTGTGGGAATCGAACCCAGAGCTCTCGGCGTCGCGCGTGAATGATTGACCTCTAAACCACTGATCATACTGCGACGTACGAAAAAGTCGAGACCAGATGAAATATATATATTTGGAGAAGACACTGTTTTTCGACAAAACATGTACACTTGATCTTCAAACATCCATTTACAATACAAGCACATTTCTTCTGGTCTTCAGTACACTCTGATCGCGCCAGATATTCCTTTCTATTAGCAACATTTGGACGACGCTCCGCTGTGTTACTTATATGCCACCTTATGAATAGCATCCACGACATAACACTCAAAGGTATTAGTAAGATGGAACAGCCGTCCAGTGCTTTCAGGTTTCCAATGGTGGTCCAGCTAAGGACAGTACTTTCAGCTGACTAAATTTACATGCGACTTTATTTTATCGAATCCATTCACTGAGTTCTGTCCTTGATATAGGTAGTAATTTTAAGTATAGAGGATAGGTACATTGTATTTAATTTTTAAAGTGTTCTGGTTCAAAAACCGTGTAGGAAGTAGACTTTTCACATGTAATACAGTAATGTAAAACGTCATTCGGGAACTAATGATTCTTCTTAGCTGCATACGCTGTCGTTGCATGAACTGTGTATTTAGTCTTGTTTCCAATGCCATAATGCATCGCTTATAATTATCCATAACTAGAGAAAATACAACAGAAACAGACTGCATGGAACAACAAAAGCATTAATTACTACGACAGGTTAGTCAGGTTTACCATAATTCAAGTGCAAGATTATTTAATGATTTTATGTTTGGATTAGATACTACTCAGATTGGTTAAATTTACAAGGGACTGTGTCATTGTAAAATATCTGCAAGTAGGAAATAATAACCACAGTTAAGCATTTAAAGTTCTTGTTATTTCACTTGTGGAACGAGATACTCTTACAGTCGTAAGCGCATTTAAGGCATCTTCTGAAAAGAAGCAAGCATCAATGCAGAGAACAAAGAATGAGAGTGAATTAATTTCAAGGACAGATTGTGGTAAATTATTCCGGAGCCTCAAAAATTTACTGGTAAAGTTAATCATACATATTTGAAATTGGAAATGCAATTGTATCACTAATGAAAAAGAGTCACAGACGTTATTACTAGTAGTTTCTGCATATTGAATTACTTCACTGAATGTAAAAGATAGCTTATAAAGTAGTTAGAACAAAAAGATCACATTTAGTTTAAGTCTCCTATGCCATAAAGGATCGAGTTCAAGTTTATGATATTTGGATTGATAATTAAGGGTATAATTGTATTTCATTTATTCTGTTTTATTCTTCTTGACAAAATGTAATCTTATCTTTTTTATAAAACAAAAAATTTATTTGTGATTACTTAGTCTCCTGAAAGAAATCCAATAATTACAAAGCAAAGGATAAAGCAACAGCATTCAGTTTATGATCGATTGCTGACATCAAGTCAAAATGAAAAAGATCTTCAATCTCACAGAGTTCAATTAACTGAATCAGATGATTTTGTCAAATCACCAAAAGAATATTCTACTGACATTTCCTATTGCACACAACATTTAAATACAAGAAAATCTATGTTAAGTTTATCAAATAAAACTCACAGTGAATCGGATTTATTGTATATCAAAAACCGTTTATCACATTGTATAAAATTAAAATACACATCGTTACAACATTTGATCATAGTAAGTTGTGTTGGATCTGGTGTTATTTTGATTATTATTTCTTTTTGTCATTATATAGTAACCACATTCGGCATTGATTTCACTAAGCTCCGATAACGTTGATATTAAAATCGAAAAAATATGATTGAACCCTATCTTCATATTTGATAAAACTTAGTAACTTAACAAGAATAAGATTTATCAAAGACTCATCTTAAAATAATTCAATATAAATACAGTGTATTAACTTTCCTACATAAAGGTGACGTCATAAATTCCTTTTCCATTGATAGAATTCGTTCTCTTATGCAATATTATTAGAATTTTCAGAGTTTTAACGCCAAAAATAATCAAAAAGATCACTGTACGCCGACTAACTACATTTTCTATCATGAATTATGTAAGATTCCTTCATCTATTATTATCCAATCAAATAAGTATCGTTTTCGTTCAAATTAAAAGTCAGCTTATTCGGTCTCGATGTATTAGGTTTTCGTCTTTTCTTTTTGAGACATTACTGTTTGATGTCTTAATGGTTTTTGTGATCAGAAAATCATTAGCTAACTAAAATAGTGATAAATAGAGAAGTGAAAAATCAGCGTTGACAAAAAGATTGATAAATTTTTTAATATGATTTATGTTAAGGATATTAAACTATCAGGCTACATTAGTTGAATCAATTAATTTTCGTCAAGAAACAGTCCAAAGGTTTTCATCTAATTTACAATAGCTGAAGATGTTGTTGTTTATTTTACAGTCATAGCCAGTGGCTAGAAATCATTAACTTTGTATTCGTTTTTTTTTAATTTTCTGGAACTTAAATTCATGATCTCTCATATGTAGAAGCTTCATACTCATTAGTTCATTCATCTCATTTTATCGTTTCATATCTCCTTCTGAATAAAGCTTCCATATATATATATATATATATATATATATATATATTCATCGTGATATTAAAGGATAACGCTTATTGTTGTTCATATTTTTCGGTTCATTATAAAATATGTCGTAATAATACTTAATTGCTGTGGTTTTACGCTTCCTTGCTGTATAGATTGTTCGTTGTCTACTGGTATCCCTTCTTTTTTATTATTGATACATAATGCTAAAGAGGAACACATGTAAATAATATAATTGGTAATATAATTATTCAATAACATGTAAATTATCATTCAAATCATATATACACTAATGCGATAAGAATGTTTATTCAGCTGTTTACAGTTTGCTTGTATATGAACAATTATATTCTTGTTAAATCTTATCTTATTTCTTTAGATTCTATTTTATTTCGTTTATTTCTGGCTTATGTTATTTTACCTTGTTATATTGTAGAATGAATTATCAAGCCTAAAAACATTATCCAATTTTAAATTGATTAATCAGGAAAAATCAGCTAATGTTCCAGTAAAAATGCCTGAAAATTTATTATTTCCTAATAAAGAAGAACCAAATATTGTATTGATTTCATCTTCCACTATTCCAGTCATTAGACGAGTAAAATCATTTTCATCAAACAGTTGTACATCTTCAATAAAACTGCATCCTTCCTTAAGAAAGTACTCATCACAATCGATAAAATTAAATTCAAAAGATTTTTGTGAAAATTCAGTAAGTCATAATGTTGACGATGATAATGCTGATGATGTAGTATTAAAACGGTCAAATTCATCACTGACATCTATTGAATCATTCTATGAACTTTTATCTGCTGTATTATCTAAACAGCGTCAACATTGTAATCGTCCTGAACGATTGAGCGAAATGAACTGGGACCAAGTAAGTTATTGAATAAACAATGGAATTATATTTCGTCAACGAATAAATGCTTGACGTTTTTCGTATCATTTCAATTTTTTTCTTATAAAGTCAAATTATCTGACAGAAGTATCTTATTAAGCACTTTTTATTATTTACATCTCAAGCTAACTTTAATCAAATAACTTTTCAAAACCAAGAAGTACTGGACAGTTGTTTTGTTTTTGATTCCCAGTACTGCTCAACCTTGATCTTGATGGGACAGAACCAAGGACGTCCAATATTTATAGTGAGCATTTAACATCTTGACTGTTGAATCCGGACCCAACGGTTTACGCTCATTCATCTCTCAGTATTACGAAACAACCATTTAGGCTTTCAGACAGTTCCCTTCCACCCGACCGTAGCTGCTAACGTGGGATGGTGATCGTGCTCACCTATCGTGATGACCTAACCGAGCTAAATTGACTAGAACACACGTTCCTTTAGGCCCTACTATGCCAGACAAGTGGATTGGAGAACGATAAGATAAAAAGCTGCAACTGAAGGTCTGAGGGCAAAGTCGTACTGCTGACTGCAGAGAGGTGTGACGGCATTAAGGTGATTTTCTCGGACAACCAGCATCTGCAGCGATGCTACCTTCACACGAGAAAGGATGGAATTATAGAAGGTCCACCTTAAAAGTGTCAAACATCACCTGGTAACTGGTGGTTAGAGACTTTGAATGGCATGACTCAGAATCCTTTACAATGGCACAGATGCATCCATTGTATGTCTTCTCTCAAATTCTAATCCTATGAATTCCTCATGACCTTTCTTCTCCTTTTAAATTTATTTCATTGAGATATACTTTTCCAATTATGTATTCAATCCCTAATCTTTTCCATTACCAATAATTCTACTACAGGATCTACCGTTATGGGATTTGAACTGACAATTCCATCTCTCTGTTTTAATGTGCTGTGGCAACTTGCACTGACGTACGTATGCACCAAGTTCTACGTTATGGCTGACTGACTGACTGAGTTTTATCCACAAAAACGTTATCGGTGTGTTGAATCACTTGACTGTAGTATCTTCTCAAATGTTATTTTGTAAAAGAAAACTGTTACAGTAGGACAACAATGCATCTAAATTATTTCCTTCAATAATTAACAAAAACATTTTCTAGTTCTTTAGTTTATTATTTAAACTACAAATTGTGAAAGAAGTCATAAAAGAGAACGAATTCGCTATTTCATTTGATCTTGTTCAGATCAAATTAACCAACAAAACTAATTTTATGAGGTTTTTTTATTCGATCTGTTTTCTATAATGTCAATAATGTTTACAATTAGTGATAGAAAAGTCTTTGTTAAGACGAAATTCAAACCAGAAGCCTAATTTAGACTTAGTACTTTTTAATAGTTATTAATAACTTTCGAGAGTACTTAAGTTCTCGTAGAATGTCATATTCACTACTAATTTGCATTAGGTTAACTTGTACACTTAAATCAGTTCCTCTTCCAGTATTTACACTGTTATTTGAAACTTTATTTTTTAGATGACGTCATTTTCAACATATAAATACACAGCAATCTTAACTATTGTTTTCTCGTCCTGTTTCATATGTCATTTCCAATTAAACTTTATTGAATACAGTATGTAAAGAATATTTTTTCGAATACTATCGCTAATGTAACTTGAGATCATTAACAACACTATTAGAAAGCTTTAAAATATAATGTATGTATATGTAAATTTTCTAAGATCTTGTTTTTCTTGCTTTATTGATGTTATCAATGTCAACGTAAACATCTGATTGATATGATGACTTATTAGTTTTTTTTGTTATTTGAATTATTTATGAACACTGAAAGTAAATAATCTTTTAGTTTGGTGTTCGTATTATTTTACATGATAAGTTTCGCTAGTATACATTGTTTTACTTTGCTGATATTTATTTTGGCTGTATTTTTAAACTATAGACGTGATCTCTAAGACAATTTTTGTTTATTTGTATTTATTATGACTGTAAAAATAATACACTTTTTGTTGCATTTTGTGGTGGTATTACAAATGTACTCATCAGTTTAAAAAAAACATTGAATTATACATGCTTTTCTCTTTTGAATACTTCAGATTGAACAAGAGAAATATGATATTCAAAAAAGTCTCTTGTATTTTGAAGGTCTTTATGGACGACCTAAAAGTCCTAAAACGAAACGAATTATGAAACCGATATATGAACGTTATCGTCAGGTTAAACGTCTTATTTCTTCTCGATATGGAGTTTATAATGAATTTCCATTTGGAATTGATTTATCTCGTTTAAAAGTATCCACTAACAATCCAGTAGTTGATGTTGATGTTAATGAAAAATTCACAAATAAAGAATCAAATGTACTAGTTTCAAATGAATTAATGGATATTTTAAACACTTCATCTAGTGGATCTTCAGAATTCGTACAGGATACTATTCATCATGTTAATTATGAATCTGATTCAAGTACATCTCAAGATATTTATAAGAATAAAGAATCTAACTTCCCGGTTAAAGATGATCAAAGAAATTGTATTTTTCAATCATCAATAAAACATAATCGTGTAACAATTGAAAACAATCAAAATTCAAGTATTCCATTTAATTTAAGCCATCGAAGATCATTTATCAGACCAGATGACCACAAGATCCAACTGTAAGACATTTTATACTTGTTTACTTCTAAATTTATAATTTATAACAAGTTTTGCTGTTTCTTTTATGTTAATCTCTTATTAATCCATAATAATCCAAAAGTGAAAAAAATCCGAAATATAAGGTATGTATTTTATCCTTTGCAAAAACCAATCTAAGGTCACTTAGAACTTATCATAAACACATTCACTTTAATGTGTAAAGTTTTAATTTTGAACTAAGTTAGGATTTTGCATTCCAAATCTGTTGTTGCAGTTTGAGCGAAATCATCATGTTGAAAGATGAGTTGATAATTGGTTTTGTATTTCAAAATCATCTCTCTAAAGTTACAGTTTCAGGGTTCCGTGCTTTTATTGAAAAAAAGAAAGATTTTGGGGGAAAATTCAAACATGTAATTACAATTGTCTAGTTTTAAAAGTAAATGGATTGGTGTTAGTCTACTGTTTTATAACTGTACACGGTTTTACTATTATGTAGGTGACACCTTTTTGAATGAAGTAGACCATATTTGAAAACGTATTACTTTACATCAGTAATTCATTATTGTTTTTACCGATATATTTTAGTCTTCGCTGACTTCACTCATTGTTTGGAGTTATATTTTTTATCTACCACCTGTAAATATACGAGGTAGGCATGGAATTTTTACCAGCGGATATATATGTAAAATATGTAACTAGTTGTAACACTGCTTTTGTAGCTGGACAATAGCCTGATCCCCAGTTCAAATATTGGTAGAATTGTGTAAAGAATTAAAAAAAATTCACCAATAGCTGGTTATTAAATTCAATCACATAGAATGATAAATCGATTAAATGATTACAAGTCAACTAAAATCAAGGATGTTTCCATCAATATTTATTCTGTAACATATGTACTAAGGCATACAACGTGGCAACAGGATACTGAACATTTTGTTCTCCCGATAATAGGAGATAATTTCCCAAATAAACTTGTAGTAACTTATACAGGTTTATTAACAAAATAGTTTGCCGAACAATGATGATGCTAGTGCACTATAGTTGGTTACTATTCAGCATACATATGTATTTAGGTTGATATATGAATGTAATGAACAGTTTAGATATTTCAGTTAATCTATCATTCTTGACACATTAGATTAAAACTAGTTGAGTAATTTTGTTTATTTGCATTTTGTTTTTCTGGAATTTTTCATTTCACTTTGGACATTTGATGTTATTGAATGATTTAAATCGACTTTATCTATCCGATTACTCTATCAGTATTTTTCATCCATTTTTTTAAACGAAAGAGCAAGTGACCTATGATTTAAATTGTACAATTTTTTTTCTACTGTAAGCCTTATCGAGACTATATATCTTAATTAATGAATTGTTATCCAGTTTGTAAACAAAACAAAATGAATGGATACAAATACTATCGACTGTGAAATTCGCTAATTAGAACTCCAGAACTCACTTGAGGAAGGTCTTAATTTTGGATTTTATGTTTTCGAGCATGGGTTGACCAGTTGACATTGAGATTACTTTTCTCACCCGGAAAATCCTTGACTGTCACTGGTTGATGTATTATTTTAGTATGCTATTTTCGTGGGTCTCTCAAGGACGTTTCTGTCATTTATAAATAAACTCAATTTGTGTGTTTGTGAATCTCAGATTTCCTGGGTGCTTGAAGAATACACTTTCTACATCTTTTCAAGACTTTTTCCCCTTCTTAGTGGGGCGTTGGGACGCTCAGATTAGAGTAGCCTATCGTGCCACTGCATCATTTGTCTTCGCTCTCGTTTACTGAATAAGGTGAACTCGTAATACCACTAAAAGAATAATTTTTATCACTTAATGAAAGTAGAATAAATTGGAAAAATAAAACTGATCTATTTGGAAGAGAACTCCGCCAGTAGAACCTTAGGGGCTACTGCCGGTCCCAAGCCCGGATAAAGGAGGAGGGTTGGACATGGGGTTGGCGGCCCCATTCCGTTGAAATCTAACTTGCCAAAAAAAACGCTAACCAGAAAAAATAATTCAAACCATTTTAACTCTGCCCTGGGAGTTGGAAGAAGAATTATGACGTCTCGTGATGAAAGCCGAGTCCCCTCGGAAGTCACGGGGCCGATGCCTCTTCTGACAACCAGAGCAACCATTTTTTTAGGTACATGGAACGTTCGTACATTGTCGGAGACTGGAAGACTATTTCAAGTTGCGGCAGAAATGAAAAGATACAACCTCGAGGTGCTCGGCATCAGTGAAACACATTGGACACAGGTAGGACAACTGAGACTTGCTTCAGGGGAACTGCTGTTATACTCTGGTCATGAAGAGGAAAACGCTTCACATACACAAGGAGTTGCACTGATGCTGTCCAAACATGCACAAAAGGCACTGATAGGATGGGAATCTCATGGACCCAGGATCATTAAAGCATCCTTCAAAACAAAGAAACAGGACATTAAAATGAACGTCATCCAATGTTATGCACCTACCAATGACTACAATGACGACGTTAAAGATCAATTCTACGAAAGGCTGCAGTCAGTCGTCGATAAATGTTCACCAAAGGATTTGACGATTCTTATGGGAGACCTGAATGCCAAGGTTGGAATGGACAACACTGGATATGAAGACATCATGGGACGACATGGACTGGGAGAAAGGAACGAAAACGGTGAGAGATTTGCAAACCTATGTGCCTTCAACAAACTGGTCATCGGTGGCACAATATTCCCGCACAAACGCATTCACAAAGCCACATGGATTTCACCGGACCACACTACTCAAAACCAAATTGACCATATCTGTATCAACAAAAAGTTCAGAAGGACCATGGAGGACGTGAGAACCAAGAGAGGAGCTGATATAGCTTCAGATCACCACTTGCTGATCGCCAAAATGAGATTGAAGCTAAAGAAGCACTGGACAACGGGGCAGACAACATCACAGAAGTTTAATACGGCCTTTCTTCGGGATACCGTAAAACTCAATGAATTCAAGATAGCCCTCACCAATAGGTTCCAGGCCTTTCAGGATCTACTCAATGGAGAGGAAGCAACATTGGAGAACAATTGGAAAGGGATTAAGGAGGCAATCACTTCAACATGTCAGGAGGTCCTTGGTCGCAAGAAGCACCATCACAAGGAATGGATCTCTGTTGGTACTCTTGAAAAAATTCAAGAAAGGAGGAACAAGAAGGCAGCAGTGAATGTCAGCCGAACAAGAGCAGAGAAAGTTAAGGCTCAAGCCGAGTATACAGAAGCAAACAGGGAAGTGAAGAAGAGCATCAGAGCTGACAAACGAAAATATGTGGATTATCTAGCAATGACGGCGGAAAAGGCTGCAAGAGAAGGAAACTTGAGACAATTGTACGAAACTACAAAGAAGCTCGCCGGAAACTATCGTAAACCAGAACGACCAGTGAAAAGCAAGGAAGGGAAAATAATCAGCAACACTGACGAACAGCGAAATAGGTGGGTGGAGCACTTTAAGGAACTATTGAATCGACCAGCTCCACTGAACCCACCCAACATCGAAGCAGCATCCACGGACCTCCCAATTAATATTAGCGCACCTACGATTGAGGAGATCAGTATAGCCATCAGACAAATCAAGAGCGGCAAAGCAGCAGGACCAGACAACATTCCAGCAGAGGCAATGAAAGCAGATGTGGAAGCAACTGCGAAAATATTTCACATTCTCTTCAAGAAGATTTGGGATGAGGAACAAGTACCATCAGATTGGAAAGAAGGATACCTCATCAAAATACCAAAGAAAGGCGATCTCAGCAAGTGTGAAAACTACAGAGGCATCACTCTTCTTTCAATACCAGGCAAAGTCTTCAACAGAGTATTGTTAAACAGAATGAAGGACTTCGTAGACGCCCAACTTCGAGATCAACAGGCTGGATTTCGTAAGGATCGATCGTGTACTGACCAAATTGCTACATTACGGATCATTGTGGAACAATCAATTGAATGGAACTCACCACTCTACATCAACTTCATCGACTACGAGAAAGCATTCGATAGCGTGGATAGGAAAACACTGTGGAGGCTTCTTCGACACTACGGTGTGCCTGAGAAAATAGTCAACATCATACGGAATTCTTATGATGGATTCAACTGCAAAATCGTACACGGAGGTCAGCTGACAGACTCTTTTGAGGTGAAGACCGGTGTCAGGCAAGGTTGCTTACTCTCACCCTTTCTCTTTCTCCTGGTCATCGACTGGATTATGAAGACGTCAACATCTGGAGGGAAGCACGGTATCAACTGGACAGTTAGGACGCAGCTGGACGATCTGGACTTCGCAGATGACCTGGCTCTTCTATCGCACACTCAACAACAAATGCAAGAGAAGACGACCAGTGTAGCAGCAGCCTCTGCAGCAGTAGGTCTCAACATACATAAAGGAAAAAGCAAAATTCTCCGATGCAACACAACATGCACCAACCGAATCACGCTTGATGGAGATACCTTGGAGGACGTTAACACCTTCACATATCTAGGCAGCATCATCGACGAGAAAGGTGGATCGGACGCAGATGTGAGGGCGCGGATTGGCAAAGCAAGGGCTGCATTTCTACAGTTGAAAAATATCTGGAACTCCAAACAACTTTCAAACAAAACCAAAATCAGGATCTTCAATACAAATGTCAAGACAGTTCTACTGTATGGAGCGGAAACATGGAGAACTACCAAAGCCATCATCCAGAAGATACAAGTGTTTATTAACAGTTGTCTACGCAAAATACTTCGTATTCGTTGGCCAGACACCATCAGCAACAACGAACTGTGGGAGAGAACAAGTCAGATTCCAATGGAGGAGGAAATCAGGAAGAAGCGGTGGAAATGGATAGGACATACACTACGAAAAGCACCCAACTGCGTCACTAGACAAGCCCTCACATGGAACCCTCAAGGCAAAAGGAAAAGAGGAAGGCCAAGGAACACACTACGCCGAGAAATAGAGAAAGATATGAGAGGAATGAAGAAACATTGGACAGAACTGGAGAGGGAAGCCCAGGACAGAGT